TTTACAACATTTAGTAACTTACCACCTATTCGATATACTTGCAATATTTGCCACATTGCTCCCCTATCCACTCTATCATATGCCTTTTCTAAATCCATAAATGCAATGCAAACTTCCCTACCTTCATCTAAATACTGTTCACATATATGCCTCAATGTAAACACTTGATCTACACATCCCCTACCCACTCTGAAACCTCCTTGCTCATCCGCAATCCTACATTCTGTCTTACCTCTAATTCTTTCAATTATAACCCTAACGTACACTTTTCCTGGTATACTCAGTAAACTGATTCCTCTATAATTTTTACAATCTCTTTTGTCCCCGTTCCCTTTATTTAGAGGAACTATACATGCTCTCTGCCAATCCCCAGGTACCTTCCCCTCTTTCATACATTTATTAAACAAAAATACCAACCACTCTAACACTATATCCGCCCCCTGCTTTTAACATTTCTGTCATGATCCCGTCAGTTCCAGCTGCTTTACCCCCTTTCATTCTACGTAATGCCTCATGCACCTCCCCAACGCTCACATCCTGCTCTTCCTCACTCCTAAAAGATGGTATACCTCCCTGGCCAATTCATGAAATTACTGCCTCCCTTTCTTCATCGACATTTCAAAGTTCCTCAAAATATTCCCACCATCTACCCAATACCTCCATCTCCAATCTACTAACTCCCCTACTCTGTTTTTAACTGACAAATCCATTCGTTCCCTAGGCTTTTTAACTTGTTTAACTCCAAAAAAATTTCTTATTTTCATTAAAATTTCTTGACAGTGCCTCTCCCACTCTATCATCTGCTCTCTTTTTACACTCTCTCACCACTGTCTTCATATTTCTTTTACTCTCCATATACTCTGCTCTTCTTATAACACTTCTGCTTTGTAAAAACCTCTCATAAGCTACCTTTTTCTCTTTTATCACACCCTTTACTTCATCATTCCACCAATCACTCCTCTTTCCTCCTGCACCCAACCTCCTATAACCCCAAACTTCTGCCCCACATTCTAATACTGCATTTTTAAAACTATTCCAACCCTCTTCAACCCCCCTTTCCCTCCCACACTAAATTAGTTTTACCCACTGCTTGAGTGTGGGATGTTATCTCAGACACTGGTTGAAAGCTAAAATATTGAGAGGTATGGTAATATAGCTGTAATTGTTTTACATGATGGTAAGATTTCTGGTGTCTTTTATCTGTCTCCTAAACATGCAAGATTTCAGGTATGTCTTGCTACTTCTACTTATACTTAGGTCACACTACACATACATGTACAAGCATATATATACACACCCCTCTGGGTTTTCTTCTATTTTCTTTCTAGTTCTTGTTCTTGTTTATTTCCTCTTACCTCCATGGGGAAGTGGAACAGAATTCTTCCTCCGTAAGCCATGTGTGTTGTAAGAGGTGACTAAAATGCCGGGAGCAAGGGGCTAGTAACTTCTTCTCCTGTATATATTACTAAATGTAAAAGGAGAAACTTTTGTTTTTCCTTTTGGGCCACCCTGCCTTGGTGGGATACAGCCGATGTGTTGAAAGCAAGAAAGAATTATAATTATTATTATTATTATTATATAAATTGTAATTTTTATTCACACAAAAAATATAAGATTTACTGTTATTCCTTATTGCAATAATTGTATAAATAATGTCAACCCATTCACGACTGCGTATTGGAATGGACATTTGTTTACTCTGAAACAGCCAAGCAATGGACCATTTCTCCTATGTTGAGCTCAATTTCAAGGCACTTTTCATCGTGAAAGCAATCAAAATCATATCTATTTCTGTAACATATCTTCATGAGTGTGAGCAAAGTAACATTTTTGAAGGGATTCAGGGAAACCGGCAGGCCGGACTTGAGTCCTGGAGATGGGAAGTACAGTGCCTGCACTCTAAAGGAGGGGTGTTAATGTTGCAGTTTAAAAACTGTAGTGTAAAGCACCCTTCTGGCAAGACAGTGATGGAGTGAATGATGGTGAAAGTTTTTCTTTTTCGGGCCACCCTGCCTTGGTGGGAACCGGCCGGTGTGATAATAATAATAATAATCTTCCATTCCATCAAATGAGACCAAAAAAACGAGAATACAACCATAAAAACCATTCAAAATTACTGCTAAGGGGTGGCTAATTGCTGAGAAGTGAACTCCATTATTTATGCTTAGATTTCTTTCATTTTTGGTGTACGTTAAGAAGCATCTTTCCATCATACATTGTCCAAGTTTCAATAAGATAGTCCAACAAACAAATGAGATACAATTCCCGAGATCAAGAGCAAGAGTCCCTCGCCAGTGTCAAGGAACCTGCATTGAGGTCTGCTCGCTCATGGAAATTTTGCTCGCGTATGGAAGCAAAAAATCGACCCACTGTATTTCCAATTGTTTATGATTTGCTTTTGTAAAGGATTTGAATACGTAGTCATGCACACATTTTGCAGATGCATTTTAGCTTGAAGGGAGATAAGCTTCTAGCAGTGCTTGGCCATTGTCTAAGTGCCTTCAGGCTCAAATTTCCCAGTTAAACCAAGCTGCATTCTGTAAAGTAAAAGGACACAAGTGCAACTAATGTGACATTTTATTGTGGCAACGTTTCGCTCTCCAGAAGCTTTGTCAAGCCGTTACAAACAGTACATGGACACAGAGGGTATATATAGGCTCTGAGTGAGGTGCAATACTAGTGGTAGTAGTAGTAGTGATATAAGTTGTAGTAGTAGTAATACAATATGTTAGAACAATTAACTTGCACATGAGTAAAAGGATATAAAAGCTATTACTTGGGAAACATAAAAATAGGTTAAACAAATATTTCTATTGGAGGCTGGACAGAGAAGGCCAGTTTCAATGCTCATTCTCTGTAATGTGCTTGTGTAGTATTAACAGGAGAGACTATGTGATGGCAGGGTTTACTGTTTTCAGGAGGATTCTTGCTAAGACTTCGGAGATGGTGAAACTGCCGTTGTTTTGTTTAATTGTATTCGAAACAGCGATCAGTGCTGATTCGAGGCACTTGCGTCTGCGGAAATTAGTTTCTTTGATCATTAGTTGGGCGTCCCTGAACTTCATGAGATGATTGGTGGAATTTCGGTGTTGTACACAGGCGTTGTTCAAGTTATCGTTCCTACATGCGTAAATGTGTTCGTTGAGGCAGGTGTCGAGGTTTCTTGCTGTTTCACCTACATAAATCTTGTCACAGCCTCCACAGGGTATGGTGTAAACCCCTGCGTTGACTGATTCCTGGTGCTTGGATTTTGTTCTGATTAGATCCTTTATCGAAGTGCTGGAAGCGATGGCGACTCTGATGCTAGCTTGTGAAAGTACTTTAGAAATGTTCAGTGCAACCTGGCTGTTGGGAAGAATTATAACTTTGTTGGGAGTGGTGTTGGTGCGTGGAGAATTAATGATCTGAAGAGCTCTTTTCTTGCAGTCTTTGATGAAAAAGGAAGGAAAATGTAAATCTGTGAAGGTTCGGTGAATGTATGTACATTCCTCATCAAGAAACTCAGGACTACAAATATGGTATGCTCTTAGGAAAAACCCGATGATGATGCCTCTTTTGGTCTTAGTATCTTGACTGGAATAGAAGTGTGTGAGATCATTTTTATTGGTAGGTTTCCGATAAACTTGAAATCTTAGGCTGTTGTGTACTTTGTGAATGAGGACGTCGAGGAAAGGTAGCTTGTCATTGGACTCTTCTTCTAGTGTAAACTGGATCGCTGGTTCAACTGCGTTGAGCCTTGCCTGTAAATTCCGTACATCAAAACGTTTGGGAGCTATTACGAGGACGTCATCCACGTAACGTAACCAAGTGACGCTTGAAGGGATGATGTTGGCGAAGTGTTCGAACTCTAGGTGTTCCATGTACAAGTTGGCTAGGACGGCACTGATGGGGGACCCCATTCCCATGCCGTAGGTTTGTTTGTAGAGCCTGTTATTGAAAGAAACAGTTTAAATTAACACAGAGTTCAATTGAGTCAACAAAATCTCCGGGAGGCAGAGGAAGATTAAGGTCCTGATTGACTTTACGTCATAGAACCTCGATGGCTTTTGTGGTAGGTACTTTCGTGAAGAGGGAAGTCACGTCCAAACTGCTTAGTTTCTTGTTACGGATGGAGAGGTTTCGGATGCGGTTGAGAAGGTCGCCTGAATGTTTAAGATGAGCGGGGCTGATGGTCCCCAGAAGGCAGGAAAGATGTTTGGCAAGAACTCCGGCTAGTTTGTGTGGTGCACTGCCTATACCTGACGTGATTGGTCTGAGAGGAATATTATGTTTATGGGTCTTGGGTAAACCATACCTGAAAACAGTAAACCCTGCCATCACATGGTCTCTCCTGTTAATACTACACAAGCACATTACAGAGAATGAACATTGAAACTGGCCTTCTCTATCCAGCCTCCAATAGAAATAGTATTTGTCTAACCTATTTTTATGTTTCCCAAGTAATAACTTTTATATCCTTTTACTCACGTGTAAGTTAATTGTTCTAACATATTGTATTACTGCTACTACTACTACTACAACTTATATCACTACTACTACTAATACCACTAGTATTGCACCTCACTCTGAGGCTATATATACCCTCTGTGTCCATGTACTGTTTGTAACGGCTTGACAAAGCTCCTTGAGAGCGAAACGTCGCCACAATAAAATGTCACATTAGTTGCACTTGTGTCCTTTTACTTTACATATTGTCAGTAATTCTACCAACTTTATTACAAGCTGCATTCTATTTTGCTGCATAAAAATGGCAGCTCTACACTGCTGCAGTTGTCCAGTGTGGAAAAATTAATGTTCCTGCTAAGAGGCTATGGATGGGGTGCCCATGGTTTTTTTTTTTTTTTAAACCAGTGTGAATTTTGACAGTACCATAAAACATTAATAGTAATTAGTTTTATCTTACATTGATACTTTATATGTTGGCATTCACTGTTTTGAATGCCAAGCTTTTTAGATGTGTCAGATAGGTAAAAATCTAATTCATTATTTACTCAATGCAGTTGAGTCAGTAGGAGGACGTGCTCTGCCTTGTGTGGTGGATGTTCGTGATGAAGGGTCTGTGCAGCAAGCTGTAAATGATGCAGTTAAGCAGTTTGGTGGCATTGATATTGTTATTAACAATGCCAGTGCCATCTCCCTCACAGGAACCCTGGAGACTCCAATGAAAAAATATGACCTCATGCATCAAATCAACACCAGAGGAACATATCTTGTGTAAGTGATAATTGATTTGCAACCTGGTGTTCAAGGTGGTATCCAGGGTGCACTGCTATTCTACTTTATATCAGACTAACCAAACAGCACACATCTTAAACATCTTAAAGGGCAAGAGTTGGGAATTCCTTGATTTTCATTTCAGATACATCCACTACTTATTACAGAAAACCTGAATTACTAAAAATTCATCCATTATCAAGTTACTCTAAGTACAGTTTTTCCCATTATTTTTCTAATGCTGGTGAAGCTTGTATTGTGTACATTACTGTCATCTGTTCAACCTGTTTCTTAAGATCTTTTTCTCTAACAATAGGGGCTCAATTACAGTATACGTTTTGTTTCAGGAGAAGATTGAAAGTGGAAGCTATATTAATGTGTTTAATTTTTTCCCTGTAGATCAAAGTTGTGCGTGCCACATTTGTTAAAAAGCCCAAACCCGCACATCTTGAATATATCTCCCCCTCTCAACATGAATCCTCGCTGGTTCAAGAATCACATAGCTTACACCATGGCCAAGTATGGCATGTCTCAGTGTGTATTGGGCATGGCAGAAGAATTCAGAGATGATGGCATTGCATGTAATGCACTTTGGCCCCGCACAGGTAGGACTTGCCACAACTTTTTTTTATACATAAATTCTACTTTTGCATGCATGTTTTTTTTTTTATTATCACACTGGCCGATTCCCACTAAGGCAGGGTGGCCCAAAAAAGAAAACTTTCACCATCATTCACTCCATCACTGTCTTGCCAGAAGGGTGCTTTACACTACAGTTTTTAAACTGCAACATTAACACCCCTCCTTCAGAGTGCAGGCACTGTACTTCCCATCTCCAGGACTCAAGTCCGGCCTGCCGGTTTCCCTGAACCCCTTCATAAATGTTACTTTGCTCACACTCCAACAGCACGTCAAGTATTAAAAACCATTTGTCTCCATTCACTCCTATCAAACACGCTCACGCATGCCTGCTGGAAGTCCAAGCCCCTCGCACACAAAACCTCCTTTACCCCCCTCCTTCCAACCTTTCCTAGGCCGACCCTTACCCCGCCTTCCTTCCACTACAGACTGATACACTCTTGAAGTCATTCTGTTTTGCTCCATTCTCTCTACATGTCTGAACCACCTCAACAACCCTTCCTCAGCCCTCTGGACAACAGTTTTGGTAATCCCACACCTCCTCCTAACTTCCAAACTACGAATTCTCTGCATTATATTCACACCACACATTGCCCTCAGACATGTGTATATGTATATACAAAATATATACAGTGGACCCTCGAATTTAGTAGTGCCATTTCTGTATGCAAAACTATTTTTATTATCTTTAAAATGTGTTTTTTGGTAATATTTTTGGGTGTCTGGAATGGTTTAATTGGATTTACATTATTTCCTATGGGAAATATTAACAGAGCATACATTTTATAGATAAAAATAGTTTTGCATACAGAAAAGGCACTACTAAATTCGAGGGTCCACTGTATTTACAGTGACAGTATATTATATAGATGTGTAGTTATGTAAGTGCAAACTGTGTTAATTCCATAGCTAATACTTCACTCATTGTTTTGGGCAAGTCTGATCATAATAAATATACAAATAAATAATTTTATTTTGATGTAGTAATGCTTTGCTAGACTAGATAATACATATACAGTTAACCCTTTAATTAACGGACTAACAGGGTTAAGGGGGGGTACAAGTTATTGCCGATTGTCCATCAATTCCTAATTGTGAAATTAATTTTACATGATTGTAACATAAACAGTTGAAGTTTGAATTAGCTGATTTGGTCTGTTGATCCAGAAGACTACTGTACACTTAAGAATACAAGTATTGTGGTCTGTAAAACAGTACACTATAGTACTCTACAGGTACAATACTGTATTGTAAATAAGTTGAAAGTACAGTACTGTACAATTGTACTGTGCATATAAATTTGTTTATACAGCTGATTCATTATTACAGCATCTGCTCACAACCCCTCCACTCTGTTTCTCCACTTTGTTTACATCCTCTGTGAGCCCCATGTTTTTACTGTCTGGAAGTTTTCCAAATTTTCAAGTGTTTTAAAGTTATTGCATATCTTATTTGTACTTTTTTTTTTTTTTTTTTTTTTGGGGGGGGGGTTACAATGGCATTTAAGAGTAGTTGTGATAAAAAGAAGAGTCGTAAGGCTCCTACTTTGAGTGCATAGTTAGAAATGATTAAATTCAGAGATCAAGGTATGTCTGTGGACGAGATAGTACTGAGATACGTACTGCTGATAATTGTTCTTGTGTACCTGTACCTAAATGAACTTTCAGACTGTGCTGGCATGCAGATACATTAAAATCACTATTTGGCATGAGTACAAAGTAGGAGTAGCTACACTACTCAGGGTCACCCCTGGGACAGTTGGAAAGAGAGGGTAGAGGGGATTTTGAGTGCTAGGGTCTTGAGTGTCCAGTAGGCTTGAGCGAGTGTTAAATTAGTGCAGGCAAGTGGTTTATAATGTTTGATGTGCTGTTAAAGTGTGAGTAAGGTAGCATTTATGAAGGTATTCACTGAAACTGACTAGCTGGATTTAGTTGTCGAGGTGGGAAGGACAGTGCTTGCATTCTTAAGGAGTGGGGTTGTTGCAGTCAAGAGTTATGCTGTCAGCATACTTAACTTCAATATGATATATGTTTAATTTAACTGAAATTTTTAATCCCTGTGGGATCTTGTGAGAAAAGACATTTTTTTGGTTATCTTTTCTATTTGAGTGTTTTACCATTGTGTAAATTTTAATAATTTTTCCTGATTGTTCTACCATTGCTGTTTGTAAGTTTTGGGTCATCTTATCCATTTCAGTTTTACCATTGCACAAATTACAAGTCATCTTTTCCATCTAGTAGTTTTATTTACTATGTATGTTTTTTACATTTATTATTGCTAAAGGCCCACTTTCCTCAGGTTAGTTAATTAATTTAGCACCAAACTATGATATATATGTACCTATGAACTTTAAGCATTTTTGTGGTTATCATAATGAAAGAACTTTGTGTTACAGCAATCATCACTGCAGCTATGGAGATGTTAGGTGGCAGTGGGGTTGACAAGCAGTGCAGAAAGCCAGAGATCATGGCTGATGCTGCTTATGTCATAATCTGCAAAGAATCCAAATCATTCACAGGAAAATTTGTTATAGATGATGAAATTCTGAAAACAGAGGGAATCACAGATTTTGATCAATATGCCGTTGATCCAAGTAAGTGATACGATCGTTTATCATTCATCTTGATGTTCAAAGCGGGGTACTATATACATGCTTATTTCATTTTTCTAATAGAAATGGATATTGCTATGAATATAATCTTACATTTATGGTAAAAGGCATAAATTTTACACATTAGGGCAAGCCCTAATCCTTAAACTTTCAACGGTATCCAACACATTAGTATGCAGCCGATGACTGTGTCCAACATACTAGTGTGCTTGTTTTTTTTTACCTTCAAATCTGCCACCTGCCAATATTTTTGACCTCATCACAACCCTGAATCTTTGTCAAATTATTCATACATTTGTGAAAAGTCTAAGGCCAGAAGGGTCCACATATTGCAGAATGGTTTCCTACACAGATGATGACTGTCTGACATACTAGTACATCCAGCTACCAAAAGTAAACGGTGAAGCCAACTGTTGTTCCACCACCAGCTTCCCTACCAGCAAAGTGTGTGCAAGTGGCACAAAGATACACAAAGCATGTTAAATACATTTAACTCATAATAACCCAGTAAAGTCAAACTATTCGACTTATTTTCATGTTTTGCAGAGTATTACACTCTGAAACAATGGTAATATGAGTAGTCTTAAGATACTAGTATACATAGCATTAAACATCAAAGCAGTTTAAAAACAAAAACAATCATATCTTGGCATCAATAAATTGTAAAATGTAAATATTATTGGCACATTTATGCCACTGTTGCTGACAACTGATAATTTTTCCACCAACTTCAGTACATCATAAAATCGTAAGTTTTTATAAGATTCCACTCATTTTTGTCTTACTCAGTTCAAAAAATTAATTTTCATTCTATAAGAAAACTTCTTTTCAAAATCTTCACACGCAGGAATCATTATTTGGGGTATGCCACAGTTTAAGGATTAATATCCCCAATTGTCACTCCTAAATCCACAAACTCTCATAAAATAAGTAGTATCCAGATTAAACTTTCATCTGGCACTCATTCAAAAGCTTGCTTGACATCTGAATATAATCTGGCTGTCCATTTTTCTTGAATAATATGGTGTTTTTGGCTCAAGGACCTTAGAAACCCTAATACTTGAATCCCTCTCTGGATACAAATCAGGAGTTCTAGGTTGCTGAACATATATTTCTAAAGACTGAAATTGGAAATAGTTGTGCCTCCATCAGCTTGGTGTGAGTTCAAATTATTTAAATAGTTGACAGTATAAACCCCATTATATTATTCAATATTTACATAGAATTCACACACACACACACACACACACACACACACAGTGTCACAAACCTACTGGAGTTCTATGACATGGTGACAGCAGTAAGACAAAGAGAGGGGTGGGTGGATTGCATTTTCTTGGACTGCAAGAAGGTGTTTGACACAGTACCACACAAGAGATTAGTGCAAAAACTGGAGGACCAAGCAGGGGTAACAGGGAAGGCACTACAATGGATCAGGGAATACTTGTTAGGAAGACAGCAGCGAGTAATGGTACGTGGCAAGGTGTCAGAGTGGACACCTGTGACCAGCGGGGTCCCACAGGGGTCAGTCCTAGGACCAGTGCTGTTTCTGGTATTTGTGAACGACATGACGGAAGAATAAACTCCAAGGTGTCCCTGTTTGCAGATGACGTGAAGTTGATGAGAAGAATTCATTCGATCGAAGACCAGGCAGAACTACAAAGGGATCTGGACAGGCTGCAGACCTGATCCAGCAATTGGCTCCTGGAGTTCAATCCCACCAAGTGCAAAGTCATGAAGATTGGGGAAGGGCAAACAAGACCGCAGACGGAGTAAAGTCTAGGGGGGCCAGAGACTACAAACCTCACTCAAGGAAAAAGATCTTGGGGTGAGTATAACACCAGGCACATCTCTTGAAGCACACATCAACCAAATAACTGGTGCAGCATATGGGCGCCTGGCAGACCTCAGAACAGCATTCCGACATCTTAATAAGGAATCGTTCAGGACCCTGTACACAGTGTACATTAGGCCCATATTGGGGTATGCGGCACCAGTTTGGAACCCACACCTAGCCAAGCATGTAAAGAAACTAGAGAAAGTGCAAAGGTTTGCAACAAGACTAGTCCCAGAGCTAAGAGGTATGTCCTACGAGGAGAGGTTAAGGGAAATCAACCTGACGACACTGGAGGACAGGAGAGATAGGGGGGACATGATAACAACTTACAAAATACTGAGAGGAATTGACAAGGTGGACAAAGACAGGATGTTCCAGAGACTGTACACTGTGTATGTTAGGCCCATACTGGAGTATGCAGCACCAGTCTGGAACCCACATCTGGTCAAGCACATCAAGAAGTTAGAGAAAGTACAAAGGTTTGCAACAAGGCTAGTCCCAGAGCTCAAGGGAATGTCGTACGAGGAAAGGTTAAGGGAAATTGGACTGACGACACTGGAGGACAGAAGGGTCAGGGGAGACATGATAACGACACACAAGATACTGCGGGGAATAGACAAGGTGGACAGAGATAGGATGTTCCAGAGAGGGGACACAGGGACAAGGGGTCACAACTGGAAGCTGAAGACTCGGACGAGTCACAGGGACGTTAGGAAGTATTTCTTCAGTCATAGAGTTGTCAGCAAGTGGAATAGCCTAGCAAGTGAAGTAGTGGAGGCAGGAACCATACATAGTTTTAAGAAGAGGTATGACAAAGCTCAGGAAGCAGAGAGAGAGAGGATCCAGTAGCGATCAGTGAAGAGGCGGGGCCAGGAGCTGAGTCTCGACCCCTGCAACCACAATTAGGTGAGTACAATTAGGTGAGTACACACACACACAGTGGCATTATTCCAGTATCAAAAATTGTTGCTGCAGCTTGTTTGCATGTGGTGAGTAATAAAGATATAAACTGAGAATCAGTATTTTGGCCTGGACAGTATATTGAAGGGGGAAACATGTTATCATGCAGCTCCAGTATTTAATTTCCTCAATATTTGTGGAATTTGAGTATCAATTAATGCTATTTAATATGAAATTTCACCTTTGTAAAATGTGAGCACATGAATGACAAATGTGTTTTGTGACTTAAAAGTCAAAAGTAGATATGCATAATTCTGTATATTCATGAATTCAAGATTCAAAGTTACCTTCAGTAATGCAACTGTCATGAATTTTGAGGTTCAACTGTATGTCTGTTATTGGGATTATTTTTTACGCTTGCAAAAAATGACTGATAAATAAGATTACTGTCTACCATAATCTTCCTTTCTAGATAGGAGTGAATGGAGATGAATGGTTTTTGGTACCTGACGAACTGTTGAAGTGTGAGAAGGGTAGTATTTTGTGAAGGGATTCAGGGAAAACGATTAGCTGGACTTGAGTCCTGGAGGTGGAAAGTACAATGCCTGCACTCTAAAGGAGGGGTTTGGGATATTGGCTGTTTGGAGTGACATTTAACCCTTTCAGGGTCTGTCCCGTAGATCTACGGCTTTACGTTCAGGGTCAAAACCATAGATCTACGCCATGAGCTCAGCTCACTCTGATAAGCTGTGAGTGGTAAATTTGGGCCTAGTTATGAGAGAATATATCTATGTGGTATGTGTGCACCACATAAAACAAATCTTGCAGCACACAGTGTGTAATGAGAGAAAAAAACTGAGACCATGATTTTCGATTAAAACAGCGACTTTGCAGTGTTTTTTTTTTTTTTTTGTATGTTTGTTATAGTTGTATTTGCTATTTCTTGGTCTCATTTGATAGAATGGAAGACATATTACAGAAATAGAGATGATTTTGATTGGTTTTAGCACTGGAAATGGCTTGAAACTGAGCTCAAAGTAGCGGAAATGTTAAATTTTTGCCGATGTTCAAGAGTAAACAAGCGACCTCACACGTCTAATACACGCCAGCTGGTGGGTCTAATATACATTCACAAATGTGGTGATGATATTTATACAATTATTACAATATTGCATAACAGTAAATCTTCTATTTTTTGGTTTGAATAAAAATTTATTGTGTGAAAAAATAAAAATGGAATTAGTTTGTAAAGCCTCAAAACGTAACTATTGAACAGAGGAAATGTTAGTTTAGTGCCAGGAATACCTACATTGTTTATTCTGGACCCTATTTTGAAATTAGAATATTTTGAACTTTGTGTTAAATTGGCCAAATTACCAATTTCCGATCACTTTATTTTGTAGTTGAAACAGTTGACTTGGTGATGTCTTGTGCTCAGTCGATAGAAGAGAAGTAATACTAGTGAAATAGCTAAGAATTTGGTCAACTGGAATAATGTAATTGGCCTAAAATGGGAGTCAAAGTCGGCAAAATAGCCGATTCGTAAATATCGCTAACACATCAAAATTCGCGAGAGCATAATTTCGTCAATTTTCCATCAAATTTCGTACTTTTTGTTTTATTACCTTCAGAAAAAGATTCTCTAACATTTCATAAGAAAAATAACAAATTTTTTTTTTTTTTTAATTCTTAGACCCTGGTGCACCCTTTGAAATTTGGCCTCTGGACCCTGAAAGGGTTAAATTGTTGTATCTGTAAAGACAGTTATTATGTGTGAACGATGGTGAGTGTTTTGTGATTGGGTCACCCTGCCTCGGTGGGAGACAGCTGACATGTTGGAAAAGAAAAAAATCAGACTTCATACCATGTATGGTATTACCAACTATAAGTTAAGGGGTATACTTGTCTTAAAAATCAGTATTTTTATGTAGACAATCACAAATTAAATGGTTAGTCCAAATGATGATGACTTTTTAAATTAAATTTTTGCCCAGTTTTATATGAAGATGGTTAGTTTTTTCTTGGTTTTGTAAAGATGACTTTAGGCTTCAGTGGGTAAACTTGCATATATAATCTCATCTGCTAGCTTTACTGTACTTTTGTGAACTAAGGACTGGTTTAGTCAATAGCAGACTTAGACTAAAAATAATTTTTTTTTCTTTTCAGGTTCCTCACTTATGCCAGATTTCTTTTTGGACGAATTTGACAAATATGTTGAAAATGCAAAAGAATTTGGTGCTACTTCAAAATTTCTTGGTAGTAAACTTCAAGAGGAAGATTCACCCAAGACTGATAGCCAAGTTGAAAAGGTAAGAGTTATGTTGATTTTACATATGCAAGCACCTGGTGTTGTCCAAAAAAAATTTCACATGCTCTAGCTACATTTCCAGATCATATTAGGTCAATATTGGACTTTCACAATCAAATATTGACCCACAGTCTTTTTTTTTCTTATTGCAAGGATTGCTCAAAAAAATTGAATAACCACAATGTGTTGCTTCTAATGAGATTTACAAAGTCTATTGAAAAGCACCAAAATATAAGACTCCCAATACCTTATTTTTTTTAACTCATTTATTTGGCTTGTGTAGGGGATGATTTTTCCTCACTGATTTAGCTTTGCTCCAGAGGATTGTGGCTGGGGGCTTAGTTATTCCATTCATTGCAGTATTGAGATAGTTGCTCCACGCAAAAGGGATTGGAATATCATGTGGAACTTACGGTGAACCATAGTGGTACATTAGATGGTTCATCCAGGGAGGCTTGTGTTGGGGTGGAACTGTTACCTGAGGTCACTTTCACTTTCAGAATTGGTGACTGATGGTGTACAGCTCATAGTATTTCTACCACTATACCCTTACTCATTACTACCTAAATGCTGCTAGCACCTCTGATGCTTCAAGTATAAATAAACTTTACTATATTAGTTCTGTGAGTCATCCTGAGGCTTTGTCCTGGGTAGGGTAAGGGGTGATCCCAGAAGACTGTTGGCAGTATTGCATTGGTGTGGTGTATGAGGACTAGTGGCAGGGCAGTAGCTTTGTATTAGTTAACTGGTAGTCTTCCATTCATTTCTCTGCACTTCTCTATTTTTTCTCGTCTCCTAATTTTTGTCTGTAGAGGCACCAACAATGTCTCCTCGTTCCTTTGTCGAAGCAATTCCTGATCTCTGTGGACATGGTTCATGGCAGCCACTTAGAGCCAGGCTTGGGTGGGCAACCTGTTGCTGTTGGTGGCTCTGGCCTAAATACCATCCCTATTTTAGAAAGCAGTTTGTAGACATTCCAGTAGTAGGGTCTATTTGTGTAAAGTTAATGAGAACTTTGATGTTATCCTATATCTTGAGTAGGTTGCTTCATTTTGTCATAAACTTCTTTGGCTGTATTTTATTACCGTTGAGGACAAGGCATTTGCTGATGTGTTAGTAGAGTCAGTGGCTCAGTACCTTGGAGGACATTTGTACGTACTGTTCCCAGGCCATTGAGCATGAATACAGAGGGGTCATGCCCATTTTACAATCCAGCTCTGGTTGGTCAACAAGTTAAGTCTGAAGTACCAATTGGAGGACACAGTTGGGAAATATCTTGCAACCTAATACTTGCCAGATCTCTTAAGGACCATCTGGTGATCATGACTACTATCCCTGGGCTAGTAGTCATGCCCTTTTTTTGTATCATGGAGGCTTGTTGGAGAATGTACTCGCCACTGGTTATTTGAACCAGTGTTATGGTATCATTTCCCGTTGGTCACTAAAGCATTATAGTGAGGAGGGTATTTGGCTTCTGAACTGTGAAGGGGTTACAGTTTGGAGGATTAAGAGGAAGGCTAGTAGTATTCTGGTGAGCAATTTACTCAGTAATCCTTGCATTTAACCAACCCGGAGCTTTCCCTATACATAAATGGACATGCTTCAAGTGCCAGAAGTTTGGGTTCCAGAGGACAAAGTGTAAAGCAACCCAAACATTTGTGTTGCATGTGGTGATGACTTTTTACACTTCCCACTCCTGTGTGTGTGGGTGAGAGGTTCGTTGTTGACTTTCAGTAACTTGCTATAACTCAGGGATTCTTATTAGGTTAGCCTAATAAGCTAAGTTGGTTACACAAGCTGAAGTGTTTCATAAATCATTTTTTTTCCTTCAAACTTTTATGCTATTCAAATACATTTTTTTTTTTTTTTTTTTTTTTTAACAAGTCAGCCATCTCCCACTGAGGCAGGGTGACCCAAAAAGAAAGAAAATCCCCAAAAAGAAAATACTTTCATCACCATTCAACTCTTTCACCTCACTCACACATAATCACTGTTTTTGCAGAGGTGCTCAGAACACAACAGCTTAGAAGCATATACGTATAAAGATACACAACTATCCCTCCAAACTGCCAATATCCCGAACCCCTCCTTTAGAGTGCAGGCATTGTACTTCCCATTTCCAGGACTCAAGTCCGGCTATATAAAAATAATCGGTTTCCCAGAATCCCTTCACTAAATATTACCCTGCTCAAACTCCAACAGCTCGCCAGGTCCCAAATACCATTCGTCTCCATTCACTCCTATCTAGCATGCTCACGTACGCTTCCTGGAAGTCCAAACCCCTCGCCCACAAAACCTCCTTTACCCCCTCCCTCCGACATTTTCGAGGACGACCCCTACCCCGCCTTCCTTTCCCTACAGATTTATATGCTCTCCATGTCATTCTACTTTGATACCATTCTCTCTAAATGATTAAAACCACCTCAACAACCCCTCTTCAGCTCTCTGACTAGTACTTTTATTAGCTCCAAACCTCCTAATTTCCACACTGAATTTTCTGCATAATATTTACACCACACATTGCCCTTAGACAGGACATCTCCACTGCCTCTAACCATCTCCTTGCTGCAGCATTTACAACCCAAGCTTCACACCCATATAAGAGTGTTGGTACCACCATACTTTCATACATTCCCTTCTTTGCCTCCATAGATAGTTGTTTTTTGTCTCCACATATACCTCAATGCATTCGCCTTTTTTCCTTCATCAATTCTATGATTAACCTCATCCTTCATAAATCCATCCGCTGACACGTCAACTCCCAAATATCTGAAAACATTCACTTCTTCCATGCTCCTCCTCTCCAATTTGATATCCAGTTTTTCTTTATCTAAATCATTTGATACCCTCATCACCTTACTCTTTTCTTTGCTCACTTTCAACTTTCTACCTTTACACACTCCCAAACTCATCCACTAACGTTTGCAATTTTTCTTTAGAATCTCCCATAAGCACAGTATCATCAGCAAAAAGTAACTGTGTCAATTCCCATTTTGTATTTGATTCCCCATAATTTAATCCCACCCATCTCCCGAATACCCTAGCATTCACTTCTTTTACAACTTCATCTATAAATATATAAGACAACCAAGGTGACATTACACATCTCTGTCTAAGACCTAGTTTTACTGGAAAGTAGTCTCCCTCTCTTCTACACACCCTAACATGAGCCTCACTATCCTCATAAAAACTCTTTACAGCATTTGGTAACTTACCACCTATTCCATTTACTTGCAACATCTGCCACATTGCTCCCCTATCCGCGCTATCATATGCCTTTTCTAAATCCATAAATGCAATGCAAACTTCCCTACCTTTATCTAAATACTGTTCACATATATGCTTCAATGTAAACACTTGATCTACACATCCCCTACCCACTCTAAAACCTCCTTGCTCATCTGCAATCCTACATTCTGTCTTACCTCTAATTCTTTCAATAATAACCCTACCATACACTTTTCCTGGTCTTTCTTCTTTCAGCAAACCGGCCATATCCCACCGAGGCAGGGTGGCCCAAAAAGAAAAACAAAAGTTTCTCTTTTTAAATTTAGTAATTTATACAGGAGAAGGGGTTACTAGCCTCTTGCTCCCGGCATTTTAGTTGCCTCTTACAACACGCATGGCTTACGGAGGAAAAATTCTGTTCCACTTCCCCATGGATATAAGAGGAAATAAGCAAGAACATGAGCTAGAAAGAAAATAGAAGAAAACCCAGAGGGATGTGTATATATATATGCTTGTACATGTATGTGTAGTGTGACCTAAGTGTAAGTAGAAGTAGCAAGACGTACCTGAAATCTTGCATGTTTATGAGACAGAAAAAAGACACCAGCAATCCTACCATCATGTAAAACAATTACAGGTTTCCGTTTTACACTCACTTGGTAGGACAGTAGTACCTCCCTGGGTGGCTGCTGTCTACCAACCTACTACCTACACTTTTCCTGGTATACTCAGTAAACTAATTCCTCTATAATTTTTACAATCTCTCTTGTCCCCCATTCCTTTATATAAAGGAACTATACATGCTCTCTGCCAATCCCTAGGTACCTTCCCCTCTTTTATACATTTATTAAACAAAAATACCAACCACTCTAACACTATATCCCCCCCTGCTTTTAACATTTCTGCCATGATCCTGTCAGTTCCAGCTGCTTTACCCCTTTTCATTCTACATAATGCCTCATGCACCTCCCTCACACTCTTATCCTGCTCTTCCTCACTCCTAAAAGATGGTATACCTTCCTGGCCAATTCATGAAATTACCGCCTCCCTTTCTTCATCAACACACAAAAGTTCCTCCAAATATTCCCACCATCTACCCAATACCTCCATCTCCCCATCCACTAACTCTTCTACTCTGTTTTTAACTGACAAATCTATTCGTTCCCTTGGCTTTCTTAACTTGTTTAACTCGCTTCAAAATTTTTTCTTATTTTCATTAAAATTTCTTGACAGTGCCTCTCCCACTCTATCATCTGCTCTCCTTTTGCACTTTCTCACCACTCTCTTCACCTTTCTTTTACTCTCCATATACTCTGCTCTTCTTATAACACTTCTGCTTTGTAAAAACCTCTCATAAGCTACCTTTTTCTCTTTTATCACACCCCTTACTTTATCAATCCACCAATCACTCCTTTTTTCCTCCTGTATCCACCCTTGTATAACCACAAACTTCTGCCCCACATTCTAATACTGCATTTTTAACCCTTTCAGGGTCCGTCCCATAGATCTATGGCTTTACGTTCAGGGTCTAAACCGTAGATCTACGTCATGAGCTCAGCTCACTCTGATAAACTGTGAGTGGTACATTTGGGCCTAGATATGAGAGAATACATCTATGTGGTATGTGTGCACCACATAAAACAGATCTTGCAGCACACTGTGTATAATGAGAAAAAACTGAAATCATGATTTTTCGATTAAAACAGCGACTTTGCAGTGTTTTTTCGTATGTTTTTTATAGTTGTATTTGCAATTTCTTGGTCTCATTTGATAGAATAGAAGACATGTTACAGAAATAGAGATGATTTTGATTGGTTTTAGCACTGGAAATGGCTTGAAACTGAGCTCAAATTAGCAGAAATGTTAAATTTTTGCCGATATTCAAGAGTAAACAAACGACCTCACACATCTAATACACGCCAGCTGGTGGGTCTAATATACATTCACAAATATGGTGATGATATTTATACAATTATTACAATATTGCATAACAGTAAATCTTCTGTTGTTTGGTGTGAATAAAAATTCATTATGTGAATAAAAAATCAAAATGGAATTTATTTGTAAAGCCTCAAAATGTAACTAATGAACAGAGGAAATGTTAGTTTAGTTCCAGGAATACCTACATTGTTTATTTTGGACCCTATTTTGAAATTGGAATATTTTGAACTTTGTGTTAAATTGGCCAAATTAACAATTTCCGATCACTTTATTTTGTAGTTGAAACAGTTGACTTGGCAATTTCTTGTGCTCAATCGATAGAATAGAAGTAATACTAGTGAAATAGCTAAGAATTTGGTTGACTGGAATAATGTAATTGGCCTAAAATGGGAGTCAAAGTCGGCAAGATCGCCGATTCGTAAATATCGCTGATATCAAAATTCACGAGAGCATAATTTCGTCAATTTTCCATCAAATTTCGTACTTTTTGTTTTATTACCTTCACAAAAAGATTCTCTACCATTTCATAAGAAAAAATAACAAATTTTTTTTTTTTTTTTTGAAAATTCCTGGACACTGGGGCACCACTTCAGATTTGGGCCTTGGACCCTGAAGGGGTTAAAACTATTCCGACCCTCTTCAACCCCCTCCCCCCCACTACTCTTACTTGCACTAACCCACCTTTCTGCCAATAGTTGCTTATATCTCACTGAACTTCCTCCTCCCTTAGTTGATACACTTTCACCTCTCTCTTACTTGTTGTTGCCATTTTCCTCTTGTCCCATCTACCTCTTACTCTAACTGTAGCTACAACTAAATAATGATCCGATATATCAGTTGCCCCTCTATAAACATGTACATCCTGGAGCCTACCCATCAACCTTTTATCCACCAATACATAATGTAACAAACTACTTTCATTACGTGCTGTATCATACCTCGTATATTTATTTATCCTCTTTTTCATAAAATATGTATTACTTATTACCAAACCTCTTTCTACACATAGCTCAATTAAAGGCTCTCCATTTTTATTTACCCCTGGCACCCCAAATTTACCTACTACTCCCTCCACAACATTTTTACCCACTTTAGCATTGAAATCCCCAACCACAAGTACTCTCACACTTGGTTCAAAACTCCCCATGCATTTACTCAACATTTCCCAAAATCTCTCTCTCCTCTACACTTCTCTCTTCTCCGGGTGCATATATGCTTACTATAACCCACTTTTCACATCCAACCTTTTACTCCACATAATCCTTGAATTAATACATTTATAGCCCCACTTATCCTTCAACATTATTGCTACTCCTCCTTTAGCTCTAACTCTATTAGAAACCCCTAATATTTGAAACCCCTGACCTAATCCTATTTATTTCTCTCCACTGAAACTCTCCCACCTCCTTCAGCTTTGTTTCACTTAAAGCCAGGACATCCAGCTTCTTCTCATTCATAACATCCACAATCATCTTTTTCTTATCATTCACACAACATCCACACACATTCAGACATCCCACTTTGACAATTTTCTTCTTTTTCCTTTTAGTACTCATTACAGGAAAAGGAGGTACTAGCCCATTGTTCCCGGCATTTAAGTTGACTTTTACAACATACATGTAAAAACTATGTAAAACTATATTTATTCTTTAAAAAATGAATTTTTTGTGAATATTTTTGGATGTCTGGATTAATTGGATTTCCATTATTTCTTATGGGGAAATATTGCTTTGACTTTCGAATAATTTAAGTTTCAGCCGAGCTTCTGGAACGGATTACAGCTGAACTCGAGGTTCCACTGTGCTCTAATATAATACTGTATTACTTAATTTAACCATACCTATAATAGATCAGCTTAAATTCAGTCATATTTAACATAAGTGAAATGTAATAATTTTGTGTTTAGACTAATTTTTGTGGTACTGTAGCAGTTATGAATAGTATATGTTTAGATTAATTGTTGGTCAAAATGATGCATGCAGAGTAAGCAAAATTGACAGTCTGGATTATAAAATGTGCTTTTCATGGTATATGTATATAAATACTGTATAATATCATTTTTTTTTTCTTAGGTCTTTACCAAGATTGAAGCTTTCCTGAGCAGTGAATTAGTAGACAAAACCAAGGCTGTTTATTCATTTACTCTGACGGGTAATGATACTGGCAAGTGGTATCTCGACCTGAAGAATGGCTCTGGTGCCTGTGGGCGTGGTGACCCACCATCTACTGCTGATGCCACTTTTGCTATGAGTAGTGAAAACTTTTTCAAAATGTTTACAGGTTCCCTGAAGCCAACCACTGCATTTATGTCAGGGAAGATAAAGATCTCAGGAGATATGAGCAAAGCCATGAAATTAGAGACACTTATGGGTAAATTGAAATCCAAACTTTGAAAAATCACATCTCATATTTGCATTTTTTCTATTCGGCTTCATGCCAAATTGTTTGGTTTCCTATAAGCAAAATACTTTTTGTTAAGATACAGTATACATATAAGAAAAATTTAGACTTGAATGAAAATTTAGTTTATACCTATATTTTACAATATATTATATATATAGATATATAAAGTAGCTGTTAATCTTTGAAGTGTGTGTATTTTCTCATAATATATGGTTTCGTTACAAAGGTTTAGTTTTAATGACCCAAAGAGATTTGTTAATGTTAAACAAATTTCAAATCCCATTTTGGATAAATTACATACATGCAGGTTGTTGCTGTCAACACAACTAAGGTCTTCTCATAAACTTGCCAGTACTACTTTTAATTGCCTGTACCTTAAAAAGGGCTAATGTCCTTTTCCCCTTCAGGGTTCCGACCCCAATCTGAAACTTGTTCACAGGGTCCAAGAATTTAAAAAAAAAAAATTGTATTTATTATTAAGCAAAATTAAGGCTTGTTTTCGGGCCACAGTAAACTGGATAACTGAATCTGCAGAAACGAGGGTTCTACTGTACATTGAAGTATTTTAGATATTGGTTATGACATCAGACTGAAAAATAAAAAGTTCAAAAGTTTAGGAGTGTCTTCTATAATATTTAAATAATAGAATATAAAAAAAAAGGGAAGGGGGGGGCAGTTAAACTTAAACATGTAAAAAATAGCAGTGATGTTTTAAAAAGCTATTGTAGGTCAGTTTGTGTGAATGGTTGGAGTAAAAAAACAAAAAAAAATCCAGTGGGGGATGGCTGCTGTTGGAAAAAAAAAACTGTATAGTAGTCATTAGTATGTGTGTGTCCATCAGTCTTTTGTTTGGGAAGCCTTGCCAAGCATATTGGATTGTCATTATTAGTCTTGCCAATCACCCCTAATTATTTTGTTGTTAATTATTTTTAGAAATGTAGTTGTATTTTTATACCCATTTTTAGTGAATATATTCACCTTAGTGAAGCTGTTATATTTCTGGCTTATTGTGAAATACCTATTCTTGCAAACATTGAAACACCTAGAGATGACATAGGGTATGTTTTCTGATGTGACTGTGAACATTTTTATAATTTTAATGACCTAAATGCTGCAGGTAGCCAAAAAGAGAAATTGACAGTATATTGTTACAAGCAAGAGGGAGGTGAAAGTGTATAAACTAAGGGAGGAGGAAGTTCAGGTGAGATATAAGCAACTATTGGCAGAAAGGTGGGCTGGTGCAAGTATGAGTAGTGGGGGGGTTGAAGAGGGTTGGAATAGTTTTAAAAATGCAGTATGAGAATGAGGGGCAGAAGTTTGTGGTTATAGGAGAGTGGGTGCAGGAGGAATGAGGAGTGATTGGTGGAATGATGAAGTAAAGGGTGTGATAAAAGAGAAAAAGTTAGCTTATGAGAGGTTTTTACAAAGCAGAAGTGTTATAAAAAAAGAGTAGAGTATATGGAGAGTAAAAGAAAGGTGAAGAGAGTGCAAAAGGAGAGCAGATGAAAGAGTGGGAGAGGCACTGTCAAGAAATTTTAATGAAAATAGGAAAAAATTATGGAGTGAGTTAAACAAGTTAAGAAAGCCTAGAGAACGAATGGATTTGTCAGTTAAAAACAGAGTAGGGGAGTTAGTAGATGGGGAGATGGAGGTTTTGGGTAGATGGCGAGAATATTTTGAGGAACTTTTAAATGTCGACGAAGAAAGGGAAGCGGTATTTTCATGCACTGGCCAGAGAGGTATACCATCTTTTAGGATTGAAGAACAGGATGTGAGTGTGGGGGAGGTGCGTGAGGTATTACATAGAATGAAAGGGGGTAAAGCAGCTGGAACTGATGGGATCATGACAGAAATGTTAAAAGCAGGGGGTGAATATAGTGTTTAAGAGTGGTTGGTATTTTTGTTTAATAAACGTATGAAAGAGGGGAAGGCACCTAGGGATTGGCAGAGAGCATGTATAGTCCCTTTATATAAAGGGAAGGGGGACAAAAGAGATTGTAAAAATTATAGAGGAATAAGTTTACTGAGTATACCAGGAAAAGTGCATGTTAGGGTTATAATTTAAAGAATTAGAGGTAAGATAGAATGTAGGATTGCGGATGAGCAAGGAGGTTTCAGAGTGGGTAGGGGATGTGTAGATCAAGTGTTTACATTGAGGCATATATGTGAACAGTATTTAGATAAAGGTAGGGAAGTTTGCATTGCATTCATGGATTTAGAAAAGGCATATGATAGAGTGGATAGGGGAGCAATGTGGCAAATGTTGCAAGTATATATGGAATAGGTGGTAAGTTGCTAAATGCTGTAAAGAGTTTTTATGAGGATAGTGAGGCTCAGGTTAGGATGTGTAGAAGAGAGGTAGACTACTTCCCAGTAAAAGTAGGTCTTAGACAGGGATGTGTAATGTCACCATGGTTGTTTAATATATTTATAGATGTGGTTGTAAAAGAAGTAAATGCTAGGGTGTTTGGGAGAGGGGTGGGATTAAATTATGGGGAATCAAATACAAAACGGGAATTGACACAGTTGCTTTTTGCTGATGATGCTGTGCTCACGGGAGATTCTCAAGAAAAATTGCGAAGGTTAGTGGATGAGTTTGGGAGTGTGTGTAAAGGTAGAAAGTTGATAGTGAACATAGAAAAGAGTAAGGTGATGAGGGTATCAAATGATTTAGATAAAGAAAAATTTGATATCAAATTGGGGAGGAGGAGTATGGAAGAATTGAATGTTTTCAGATACTTGGGAGTTGATGTGTCGGCGGATGGATTTATGAAGGATGAGGTTAATTATAGAATTGATGAGGGAAAAAAGGCGAGTTGTGCATTGAGGCATATGTGGAGACAAAAAAAGTTATCTATGGAGGCAAAGAAGGGAATGTATGAAAGTATAGTAGTACCAACACTCTTATATGGGTGTGAAGCTTGGGTTGTGAATGCAGCAGCGAGGAGACGGTTGGAGGCAGTGATGTCCTGTCTAAGGGCTATGTGTGATGTAAATATTATGGAGAAAATTCGGAGTGTGGAAATTAGGAGAAGGTGTGGAGTTAATAAAAGTATTAGTCAGAGGGCTGAAGAGGGGTTGTTGAGATGGTTTGGTCATTTAGAGAGAATGGATCAAAGTAGAATGACATGGAGAGTGTATAAATCTGTAGGGGAGGGAAGGTGGGGTAGGGGTCATCCTCGAAAAGGTTGGAGGGAGAGGGTAAAGGAGGTTTTGTGGGTGAGGGGCTTGGACTCCCAGTAAGTGTGCATGAGCATGTTAGATAGTGAATGGAGACAAATGGTATTTGGGACCTGACGATCTGTTGGAGCATGAGCAGGGTAATATTTAGTGAAGGGATTCAGGGAAACCGGTTATTTTTTTATATAGCCGGACTTGAGTCCTGGAAATGGGAAGTACAATGCCTGCACTCTAAAGGAGCGGTTTGGGATATTAGCAGTTTGGAGGGATATGTTTGTGTATCTTTATAGGTATATGCTTCCAAGTTGTTGTGTTCTGAGCACCTCTGCAAAAACAGTGATTATGTGTGAGTGAGGTGAAAGTGTTGAATGATGATGAAAGTATTTTCTTTTTGGGGATTTTTTCTTTTTTGGGTCACCCTGCCTCGGTGGGAGACTGCCGACTTGTTAAAAAAAAAAAATTGTTACATTAATGGGGAAATGCTATACAGCACCTAGTGAGATGGGAGGCAGCCAGGCTTGATCCAAGGCAATGAAGGATAAGTTCAAGAGCCCCTTGCTATCATCAAAGCACCCCCCTTGAAAAGAAAGGTGACAAGAAAATGCTCTTAAGGTGCTGTAGATATTGTGTAAATGTATTTATTTGGAGAGCAATCACATAAATTTACATCCATAGGCAGAAATACCTGAGAGACTTAATTACATATAAATTCTAAAGCCTCCCACTTTTAAACATCCTCCTCAGTATTTGTTCCCTTCATGGATTCTCAGGACAACACCTGTATATCAGAGTATGTGGTTAACATGAATACAGAGGCTTGTACCTCAGACACTAAGACACAAACAGGTTTAGTGCTTCTCCCATGAATATACTCGGTTTACCTAAGCAGTGTTGGAGGACACGGTACAGTTCATACAATTTATTTCTAGGAGTAGCATAAATGTTGAACCCTTCAAGGGAGAGGTTCCATGCTGGTGAGGAGCTCTTGATCCAAAAAATTGGACCTGTCCTCCTGATTACCTCCCATTATGCCAAGTGCTGTATGATCCCTCTGGGTTTGATGCTTTCATAATGAATATGGAAAAATTAATAATCATTGTCGTTTGCAATATTTTTGTTTGTAAAACAGTTTTAAATGTGGTATTCATATGTAAATGTTTCTACTACAGTAAGTGCAGACACAAAAAAAAAGTAGACACTACTAGGGTAGCTGGTTTACAAAGATGAGCAAACACTACATGTTTATGGGAAAATACTTAGGCCCTGGGACCAGAAGTTATCCAAGTCCCAGGACCAACATGTTTTCTAATATATCCTAATGTTGGCTTGCATGTTTTATTAAACCACATGTTAGTACCAAAGATTTATATTTGGGTAGTTGCTACGAAAGCTATGTTTTCCTCTCGAGTACCTTGGAGACTTTTCAGTAGAAAACTTAAACCCTTTAATTTAATTTAACATGGTTCACTTAAGGGATAAGTAAGTTTTGACCATAACTATCCCAGCCTGCAGTTATAACTGAGATATTCTTTTGTCTCTTGTACATTGTTTAGACCCTTTCATATTTTACACTAAGCATTTCTACTGAAGCAGTTCTACATAACCATGGGCTTTCCATGTGTAGTATTAAATGTCAAACAATTTTGTAACAACTATATCATGTAGAAGTAAAATATTGTCAATATTATTAATTTTAATATTCTTTCTTTCAACAAACCGGCCGTATCCCACCAAGGCAGGGTGGCCCAAAAAGAAAAACAAAAGTTTCTCTTTTTTTAAATTTAGTAATTTATACGGGAGAAGGGGTTACTAGTCCCTTGCTCCTGGCATTTTAGTCGCCTCTTACAACACGCATGGCTTACGGAGGAAGAATTCTGTTCCACTTCCCCATGGAGGTAAGAGGAAATAAACAAGAGCAAGAACTAGAAAGAAAATAGCAGAAAACCCAGAGGGGTGTGTGTATATATATGTTTGTACATGTATGTGTAGTGTGACCTAAGTGTAAGTAGAAGTAGCAAGACGTACCTGAAATCTTGCATGTTTATGAGACAGAAAAAAGGACACCAGCAATCCTACCATCATGTAAAACAATTACAGGCTTTTGTTTTACACTCACTTGGCAGAATGGTAGTACCTCCCTGGGCAGTTGCTGTCTACCAACCTACTACCTAGAAATTTTAGTATTATTATGATTAATAAAAAGTGTCAGTAACTATGGAGTATCTGGCACGTTGTTCATTCCCATTTGACTTGTGGGTGCATTTGTTGTGCTGTATTAAGATTTTAACTTTAAGATGACCCTTGTGGGTTTAGCACTTAGCTGTGATTATAATAATAATTTCACTTGGAGATAAAAAAATTAATACACTGTCATGCTGTCAAACTTGCTTGTGTCACTTTGTTCATAAATATTGACATCTTTACCCATCTATTATCTCTTAACTAAAACCAATTTCTTTTGATAGTGGAGCAATTTTTTAATTCAAATAGGGTGTGAAAGTACTTTAGGCTCTGATCTGTTGGCATGTTTTTAAAAAATTTTATTTAAAAAAAGGCAGCTTGTAGCCATTACTGGCTTGTGGTTTGGCGTATAGGATTCCACTTAAGTTTATTTACCCTGAGGTTTTGCTTTCTAGGTTTAAAAGTGTAGTTTGTGTGCTTGAATGCCTTCCAAACCTCCCTTTCCCCACAGGCGCTGTATAATCCCTACATGTTTAGCGCTCTCCCATAATAATGTAGTTTGTGTGAAATTAAACATCAGAAAACCTCATCAACATCAATAAAAAAAAGTTTTAATCATTATTGTAATACACAGGTATAGGGACTTTGGTACATGCTGTATATCCAAGGATACAGTTTTTTATGTTGATGAATTTTTACTTGTAAAGCATCAGTTTTCTTTCAAAGTGACTACAGTATTGTTGATGTATTTTGTTAAAGATTTTGAGTACTGTATCCTTATCAGTCAAGGTGATACAAACAATGCAATGTGTGGTGTTTTCTATTGTACAGGACTTGTTGACATAAAGCATATTTTGAAAAGTCTATTTTAATACTGTAATCCTCTGTGAACTACCTTAGACAAAATGCAAGCATTGAAGACTACTTTTGAAGTTTTAAGTTAAGAACCATAATCTATGTACTTGATATGTGAAGGATGTTGGTGGTGGTCAATGCCCCATAGCCTGGTGTATCAAAACCTGATCAACTAGGCTTTTACTGATGGCTTTTCCCCCAGGGATGTGTTCTGAGCACAACACTTTTTCTCCTTGCTATAAATGATTTGGCCTCTAGTCTTCCATCAAATATTTGGTCATCACTCTATGTTGATGACTTCGCTGTTGCCTGTGCAGGCGCTGACTGTCATCTCATTACAGTTTCTCTCCAGCATGCGGTCGACCGTGTTTCCAATTGGGCCACCACACATGGGTTTAAATTTTCCAGCACCAAAACTCACCAAATTACTTTCACTAGATGCTCTGTCATCTCCGATCATCCTTTGTACCTCTATGGCTCCCGTATCCCTGAACGTGATACAGTCAGGTTTCTGGGCCTCCTCTTTGACCGTAGGTTATCCTGGAAACCTCACATTACCTCTCTGAAGGCAACTTATCACAGCCGGCTGAACCTTCTTAAAACCCTTGCTCATCTTTCATGGGGAGCTGATCGTCGAACTCTCCTTCACCTACATTCCACCCTCATTTTATCGAAACTTGATTATGGTGACCAGATCCATTCAGCGGCCTCTCCTGCTACTCTCTCTAGCCTTAACCCCATTCATCACCAAGGATTACGTTTATGCCTTGGTGCTTTTCGCTCTTCCCCTGTTGAGAGCCTCTGTGCAGAAGCGAACGTTGATCTCCACAATCCTTCCATTTATAGACTGGTCACTGATATTAGTAGACATTCTTTATTTGTTCATCGCCCCTGTTTTCTCCGTCCCTTCTCTCTTTGCCCACATTTGCTCTTGTCTTCTCTTCAATTACCACCTTTCTGTGTTCATGTAGCATCTCACTTTTCCCTACCCCTCCCTGGAAAGTTCCAGCTGTTCGAGTCTGTTCTTTCTCTCTCCCTTGCTCGAAAGCCCAACTGTCTACGGTCGCTTCCCGCTCTCTTTTTCTTGACCACTTCCACTCTCATTCTCATGCCATTGCAGTGTACACAGATGGCTCTAAGTCTTCTGACGGCGTAGGATTCACAGCAGTGTTTCCAGACAGTGTCGTACGAGGGCATTTACTATCTTCGGCTAGTATTTTTACTGCTGAATTGTATGCCATTCTTGCAGCACTTATCCGTATTGCATCTATGCCTGTGTCATCATTTGTGGTTGTCTCAGACTCCTTTAGTGCTTTACAGGCTATACAGAAATTTGATACACCTCACCCTTTAGTCCTCCGTATCCAACTTTGGCTACGCCGCATCTTTACCAAGCATAAAGATATTGTTTTTTGTTGGGTCCCTGGTCATGTTGACGTACAGGGCAATGAACAGGCAGACACTGCTGCGCGGTCAGCAGTACATGACCTACCAATTTCATATAGAGGTATTCCTTTTACGGACTATTTTGCTGCAATAGCTACCCACCTTCACACCCGTTGGCAACAACGTTGGTCTACTATGCTCGGTAACAAACTTCTATCTATTACACAAATAACCCGCACATAAAAGAGAGAATCTTACGACGACGTTTCGGTCCGACTTCGACCATTTACAAAGTCAGTGTGACTTTGTAAATGGTCCAAGTCGGACTGAAACGTCGTCGCAAGATTCTCTTTTATGTGCGGGTTATTTGTATATCGTTCCAGTCACGGTATTGTGCTTTTTTTGGTTATTCAATCTATTAAACCGAGTATAGGTTACTGGCCATCTTCTTGTCATCAGTGTCGAGGTTGGGAGACTACTCTCTCCCGTCTTCGCATTGGCCATACTCGTCTTACTCATGGATATCTCATGGAGAGGTGCCCTGCTCCTCTCTGTGAGAATCGTCAGGCTCCATTATCAGTCAGCCACATTCTGTTGGACTGCCCACTTTATCAGCGAGTACGCAGAATTTACCTCCGTCGTCGTCTTCGCTCCGCTGCTCTCTCTTTACCTTCCCTTCTCGCTGATGGACCCACCTTTCATCCGGACTCTCTCATCGACTTTTTGACAACAACTGACTGACTTCACAAATTCTGATACCTTCAGCCCTCTCTACCTCAATCTCTTGCTACCCTCTACCCCCGCACTATCCCCTGCCCCGCTGTTTTCTGTAACCTACTGATCATCCCTCCCCCCTTCTACTGCCCAATACCCTCGCTTCCTTCCCTACCCTGCAGCGCTGTATAGACCTTGTGGCTTAGCGCTTCTTTTTGATTATAATAATAGTACTGATGGCTTCACACAGTATAACATACTTGCTTATCAGGAAATTACAAACTTTTAAGGTACCCTTTTGAAGACAGCCAGGAGTCTATTGGTAATCCCCCTTTATGTATGATGGGAGGCTGCTGAAGTCTTGGGCCTCTTAACACTTATGGTGTTCTCTTAGTGTACTCATGGCACCAGTGCTTTTCATAGAGGTGGAAAATGTATTTTAGGGATCCTGTTTTGGATTTAGCAATGCTGGTGAAATGTAAGCAGGGGGACATTCATCAAGGAATTCAGGAAAATTTATTAGCTGGACATCTGCAGGTGGAAAGCACAGTGCTTGAACTCTTGAAGGATGAGTGGGAATATGTTTCACTTTAGAGAGTTTGCCCTTCTATCAAGACAGCTAGTGAAAATGTCTAATAAATTGGTCCACGAAAATGAAAACTTCAGATTTTATTATCTCACTCCATTATTATGATCCACTCAGAAACCTAGTGCTGTATAGCCCTTGTGGCTTAGCACTTCTTTTTGATTATAATAATAATAATAATCAGAAACCTAGTGGGTTTAGCATTTCTTTTTGATTATAATCCAATCAGAAAACATTCCATGCCAGGTTTCAAAATTTTGGGGGGGTTATTTAGGGGTGCGCTGTATAGTCCTTGTGGCTTAGCGCTTCTTTTTTTTTTTTTTTGGCTTAGCGCTTCTTTTTGATTATAATAATAATAATAGCGCTTCTTTTTGATTATAATAATATTTAGGGGTGCCTCGGTGACTTCAAACCTTCACCCTCCTGAGAGAGGGAGCAGAGGCACTATGTGCCTCTAGCAACCATTTTCAACCAGCCTATTGATGGCAACTGCCAGAGGTGTGGAAGACAGCAAATGTAGTCCCAATTTCCAAGAATGGAGATAAGCAGGCAGCATTAAATTACAAACCCGTGCCACTGACATGTATGTAAAGTTTTGGAGAAGAGTATCAGAAGAGTGATGGAGCACCTAGAAAGGAGTGGGTTCATACATGACAACAAGTATGGCTTTAGGGATGGGAAGTCCTTTGTCACAAACCTACAGGTAACACAAGTAAGGCAGGAGAGAGTGAGGGATGGGTAGATTGCATTTTTCCAGACTGCAGGACCCCTCAAGGTGAGGGGCTCTTGATCTAAGGATTTGGATCTGTGTTCCAGTTCTCTGAATTAAACCTGAATACTTTCCACATACCCCCCCACAGGTGTTGCATAATCCTATGGGTTTAGCGCTCCCCCTTGATTATAATGAAGATAATCTGGACTGCAGGAAAGCTTTTGACACTTCCCTTAAGGGATGTTCCTTGATGCTGGTGAGGGGCTCTTGGTCTAGGGAATTGGATCTGCCCCAGTTCTCTGAATGGAGCCTGAATACCTTCCATCCCCCACTACAATGGATCAAGGCACACCTGACATAAAGGACAAGTGATAACTGTGAAGAGGTATTGGAATGGGTGCACGTGAGCAACGAGTGGGGTTCCACAGGAACCAGTCCTAAAGCTGGTTCTGTTTCTTGTATAGGTGAATGGATAGTTAGAGATATCCCTGTTTACAGATGTGAAACTGAGAATACAAGTAGACGTGGACCAAGAAAGGCTACAAATAGATCTGTATGAGCTGCAGACCTGGTCTTATATATGGCTCCTGAAATTTAACCCCGACAAGTACAGGCAAAGAAGGCTGCATACATAGTACAGGCCCAAAGGACAAATGATGCAAACTTTACTCATGTAGAAGGGCCTTGGTGTATTATACTGAGCATAACACCTGAGTGACATATGCAGTATAACCCTTGTGTGTATAGCACTTAGTTATGATTTTAATAATTACCTGAGACACACATCAACCAAATAACTGCCATAGTGAATGCGCGTCTAGCAAATCTAAGAATAGCTTTTCAACATCTAAGTAAGGAGTCATTCACGACACTGAATTGGGTAGGTACGCCGGTATAAGCGCCCGGTCTGGGCCTTTTCCAAGTGATGGCCCAGCCCTAGCTCCCTGTTGAGGGAGTGTCTCAGACCAATGTTTGCCATGGGAGGAGGAACAAGTACCTCCTTGTCTTCCAGGACTAGCTGTCCCCAGGCCTAGCCCCATTCCCTGCCCCCACAAGGCTTGAAGAGTGAAGCAAGGCACCTTGTGCTGCCACAAACCCTGCCCACACTGGGCTCGAAGGGTGTGGCAGCTGCATAACAGCAGACGATGTCAGGAGGTGCAAAGGCAGCAAGCACTACAGGATCCTTTTGGAGTCGCCCCCAGCTGTGGACATGACGTCCAAGCGCTGGGGAGGCTCAACAATGCCTTTTGCTGTGGGTGTTACTGTTGCTACTATTTCACTTGTCCATTGCACTCTCCTGTCAGGCCCATATTGGAGATGTAGCACCAGTATGGAACCTACATCTGGCCAAGCACATCAAGAAATTGGTAAAAGTGCAAGAGTTTGCAACATGACTAGTCCCGGGGCTAAGGGACTAGGCATGTTATAAACTAGGAGAGGACAATATTACTTCATGCAGCCTTAGAGTAGTCAGGAAGTGGAACGGACTAGAGAATGAAGTGATAGAAGCAGGATCCATACATAGCTTCAAGAGGAGGTACGTTAAGACTCAAAGCCAGGAGAGAGTAAATCTTGTAGTTACCAGCGAAGAAGCAGGGCCCAGGAACT